GACCGGTTAAGCCGACGGGCCGCGTAGGGCAGCGGCCCGTTAGATTCGGCGTGACCGTTTATGTGTCTAAAGGTTGTCCACCTAAGCAGGCTCTGCGCAGCAGCAGTCCAAGGCCTGACCTTTCCGACCCGCTGAAGCCATCGGGTGGCAGAACCTCTGAAGGCGTATGGTACCGATCTGTAGAAATGATGAATGGCTGGATAAAACCTTTGTCCAAAATTTGCCTGTAGAGGCATCTGTTTTCAGGTCTACCCCTAGCCTTATCAGCTGAGAAGGGTAAATCAGTGGAAAAATCCGAATACTGTGTAATTACTATGCTTGCTGAATGTCACTGGTGAGTCACGTTGCTTTTCATGACATTCAGCTCCTTTTGTGCCAAAATTTAAACACTGCAAACAATTTTGAGAACTAGGACTTGTTTGCTAAACTTTAATATGATTTTCTTTGAAACTTTCACCCTGTTTTTTGTGTTTTCCTCCTGTGCTAGGGAGACTTGAAAATAGTTTGCTGGATCATTGCATCTGTTTATTGGTATATTCTTCAGTGTTTGTTGCTTAATATTGCTTGTACTGGAAGAAAATTGCCATTCACTTGGTTCTTAAGGGGACTCCTAACTAAACTCTTAACGGAGGTCTGTAGAATTTTTTTGTTGGGTAAAAGTTCTAAATAGGTGTTTTCACCCAAATGGTCAAATAGTGACCTGATTTTCAAAAGCAAGCAACATTCATGAAGTCCTCAGAAATCTCTGTGAGACGTAATTTTGGCATCTTTAAAAATCAGTTGCTATACCACATTTTGTGGCATGGGTTGCGCTTAATTCCTCTAAGCGCTGCTTTTGGAGTTGAACCAAGATAACAATACAACAATATTTTCCTCTGATTGATCAGGTCTATTTCCTGTGTACAGCAAGTGTCTTATGTTGTAGAATTTTCTGTCAGAGTGGTATGGGTGGTTAAAAAAAATGAAAGTTGGCTTTTTTTCCATTTGATAAAAATAGGGATGTATCTGTAAGAATATGAATTTCCTTGTGGGAAATATCTGAGAAATTAATAGCATGCAAGAAAGCATGCAGAGTTGCATAAAAAGAACACTAAGATCCAAAGATTGTAGGTTAGAGCTAAGATAAAACAGTAGAAGTTATTTAAAGGAAAGGAAAGAAGATCTGACTTGTTTACTAAACTTATCTCTCTCTCTCTCGGGTTTCATCTTTGTTTATCCAGATGGACTTGCTTTTTTGCAGATTGGCTGACTTTCTGATGAATCATCTGGTTAAATGCAGGAGCTGTGTTCTTGAGCTAATGTATCACTATGGGAATTTTTTATCCTTGATAGCAGTAATGCATTTATTATGCTGGCTGCTCAAGAGCAGTGACGTCCATACACACACACACATATATATATAAATATATATTCTTACCTCTTAAAAACTTGAACCTGCTTTTTAATTAAAGGTTTTCTTTTGGATCTCATTTTAAGTAATGTTTGAGGTGATATTTACATTACACACACACACACACACGCACGCACGCACACGTGTGTGTGTGCACACACGCTTAACAGCAAAAGTTTTGGATTCAACTGAAACTGTTACTGGCGTTTATTGAAATGCCAAAGTCAAAACAAAAGAGAATACTGTATTTTAAAAATTTTGCTTTGTCCTGGATCATCTTAATCAAGGTTTTTGTGAAAGTCAGAAAGTCTCTCTGAAACATTTTAATTTCAATGAAATGTCAAAATTCATCCAGCTGTTTTGAGATTTTTCCCACTAGCTCAGCTGAGACATGCTGACAGAGCAGAGTCAGGAAGCTTATAGTATTTCAAGTTGTTTCTGTTGTGTGGACTGAGGATTTCATTCTCTAGCATTGTCAGCATAGCTTTCTTTGATACTAACAGCTCCATTGTTAACTTCCCCAGTCCTGAAAAGGCATATCTGTATTTTCATCTCTTCCTTTTCTTTCTCATTTACCCTATATACTGGTAAACGTATAATTAAAAATGTACATAGAAAAGGATTTGGAGCATCACTGCTATTAAAATCAATTTTCAAAATTGTAATGAGAGCTCTGGTAACGTTACTTTGTCAAACCTCGTAACACATTACGAATTAGTTACCTTATTCCACCAAACAGCACGGGGTTCCCAGGTGCTGTGTGCATGAAAATAACAGCGCTTGTCAAAAAAGCCACTGCGCTAAATTCAGCCCTGTTGGAACACCACTGAAGCAGAGAGATAAGCTGTAGCACAAGCATTCCCAAAGTTATTTTACAAGCTGCAGGACAATGCGCATCATGTTTTGATGAGTCACCAGAACAGTTTAGTGTGTGTTTCTTCTGCCATTTGTTGAACAGAAAACTCTCTTGAACTTACTGTTTTAAAGACTTATTACTTTTTTTGCATTAGATTTTAGAATTACACTATAATAGCACAAATGCAACGTGGCACTCTGATGGTATGGGCACACAAACAAATTACTCAGTAGTAAGCTTTAATGGAACTGGCTTCATGTCAGCTGCTTCCAGTCCCATTTGACCATGCTTTTCCCCACTTTATCTCTCAGTAAAGGTAAGGACACAACAAAAGAGCGGTAAGCTACACTGTACTTATTATACTTGTAGGGTAGGATGCACGCTTAAGACTGGACTTAGTGCTCTGTAATTTTATTCACTGCCTGTTTTCCCACATTTTTACACTGTGTAGTGGACATCTCTTAGTTATTAACTGAAGATAATTTAACATCAAAATATTTCTCTTTCGCCCCAGTATCATGATATATCCTGCTCTTCCTTCTGCAAGCCTTACTGTGTTAGCAGACTGTATATTTATTTGCCAGCTCACCTCGTGTTCTCCAACACACCAAGACACCGAGGCCCAGGTGTAGCACCGTCTAACTTTAGGTGACTCAGATGCCCAGCATCAGGTGGGATACATCCAGGTCCAGCTAGTTTTAATTATTCAGTCCCATTTACAAGCTTTGTTATTTTATGCAAAGATTACACATCTTTACATTAGGAAATACATGCCTCGATCACCTTAGGGTAGAGGTCTACAATATAATGACATAAAACTTTTTTTATATTTAGTGGTGCTGTGGAAACATTCTAAAAGTTTAGAAACACTGTCATGGTTCAGTACCCTTGTATCGTCATACTGATCTCTTTTGCCCCATCGAATGTATTGATTTAGGAATACACACAAATAACTTTTGCCTTTGTGCAACCTGAGTAACCTTAGCAGAAATATGAAGAATTTAGCCATTCATCTGGGATCTCTGGACAGGCAGAAGCCCCAGTCACGCATGGGCACATGTTGCTCAGGCATCATCTGGAATGCGTAAACCTGAATTTCTGCCTGTGACCCCAAAATGTTCTGGTGTAGGGCATAACAATGAAAGCAACTGGGAAACAAAAAGTACATTATAGTGGAGTCTTTAACTGGGTAAGAGCAAGGAAAGGTAGAGCTACAGCTTCCACAGAAACTTGTGGAATGTCGTGAAGGCTGCTCTCTAATGGGTTTGTGCTTGTGGATTTTTTTTTCTAGTGTCTAATAATGTCAGTTCAATTGAAGCCTTTCCTGTGACTAGGGTATTCAAAAAGCAAAATTGCTGTGTAGGTTCCTCATTAATACAGAAGGCGTGCTGTGGCCTTGTCCTCAGCGGGATGTATTCTATCAAAGTTAGTTGAAAGTGGCCAAAGAATTAAGTAATTCAGCAGAGGGGATGGAGAGAGATGATAGATACACAGACACATAGTGTGATTATAAAGCCTAGTTTCCTTAGGAAACCAAGATAATTATAACTGTAACACATCAAAAGTGAATCAATCATGTAATTCCTCAGTGGTCTATTATTTAATTCCTCCTTAGCTCAGCCAGCTTTTATAGCTTTCACGTGTCCATACCTGGGCACACCAACCGTAGTCGTATGGCACTTGTACCCTTACACAGGAGGCCCGATTCAGAAAAACTAGGGCTTTCCATTCTCAGCTTCATCTTTCTCCGAATTCCTCATGTGGGCAGGGAGTAAGCTGCCAGCTGGTACTGCTTAGAATGCCCCAAGGTCCAGTGTGTAGAGAATACACTGCCCTTATTGCACATAGGGCAGTTTTGGAATCATGAGCGTGCGTAGCACCTACTCCACGGGAAGCTCTGTATTTTGGGCAGATGTGCAGGGAAATCCCAGCGAGGCACAGGCTGCTTGCCTGGTAGGTCTAGTCTCACAGAGCAGGGGTGACATGCAGCATTCAGCATGTGCCAAAACTGGTCCTCTTTTCCACTTTGAAATTTAGGAGCTTCCTTTCATTCTTTCCCCTTCTTCTTAGTGTGCTCCATAAACTGTGTTAATTTAAGTTCCTTTTTTTGGGCCCTCTTGACAATATTTCTGCAGTGTGTATTAAGCTTTAGGAATGTCACGTATCAAGCACTTCTTTTCCAGTGGCTTATTGATGCTGGATAATGATGTATTCTGAGGCGTTATTTAATAAGAAATGGTCAGTCTGTGCTTTTTAGTGCATAGGAGAAGAGATTCTCCGGAAGGTGAACAAATCCCTCCTTTGAACACATCCTTACAGATAATTGGCTATCATTCTCTGTGAAACTCAACATTATTTCAGCTTCTTTTTTGCAAATACATTACTCATACATTAGCTATAAAATACAAATTCTTCAACCTTATCCGTCAGAGTTTATACCCTGAGCGTTGTCTTGCAAACTGATACTCTTTCTGGCCTAGATTCGGTGAATAACTGAAGGACATGCTTAGTTTTAGTATGCACATAGTACCATGAAGTATTCTAACAGACTAAGCCTCAACTAGTAGAAAGTAAATGTATTTCTCATTAGGTATCGTTAGTAGTGCCTACGTGCTAAATAGTGTTTCCGCTTCTATGCAATAGGTTCTTGGTGTATGATTCAGAATAGTCCTCAAAAAGGATGTGCCTGAAAATGTTCGTGTGTACATCTTGGAGGTGTATAGTCTCACTTAGCCAAAAGCAGAAGAATAGAAGCCCACTCACAATTTCAACATCAAGATGAACACTATGCTTGTTTTAGTGATGAAGTTAGAATTCTGCCTAATGCGTGTCCATTCCTCACCTAGATGTGGTGAGTGTGGTTTATTTCTGAATCTGAAAAGGTTTTTAATCTAAAACGATTTCTCATCTTTTACATCCAAATACTTCTTCAGCTGCAAAGCTGGTATTTAAAGTGACAGACTTAGGGCCTAAAGTAAAGATTGTTCTTAAAAATTAACCTCAGTAGGCTTTCAGCATGCCCCGAGCATTGAGAATCTTCCTTTTTGCCCCTTCTACAGTTTGTGCAAGAATATAGTAACAGTCTGTTTAAAAAAAAAAAAAAAAAAGGGGGGGGGGAAGAGATTTAACTCGTTGTGAGCCTGCAACTGAGTAGAAACAATACATAAGGGCATTCCATGACTGTAATAGTAAGGGCTTTGGCCCTCCATAGATAACTGCAAGTATCCATTGCTATGATTCTCCCTTTACAGTGAGGAAGTACTTACATATGAAAGTGTTATTAGTATGTCATGTCTGTGAAAGGACTTCACAAACTGTAGTTGAACTATAATTCATTTGAATGATTAAGAGATATGGTGCTCATCACAGAGCAGCAGACCCAGATTACAGACTGCTGCAAATTAACAATTACAAACTTTTAAAAAATAATTCAGAGAGGCTGGCTGTCTAAATGCATTTTATTCATTTGTTTTGACTTGTTCTGTTTAATTATTTAAAATTCCTCAGCAGTGAAGATACTTGGAGACATGCTGTGAAGTGTTAGAGTGTTAGTAAAAGGAGATTAAACTACAGCATTTTACTCTTACATCATAACTGAGAAGTAGGGTAAGATGACATAATTTTGGAAAGAGATTTCCTGTCTGTGGATTGTTTCATTTTGTGTCTGCATTTTTATAAGCACATAATTTAGAAAAGGCTGGAGCTATAACTAGCTTGGGTACGGGGTATTTTACGAGGTTTTAAAATGTTTGTTGATTGTGAGATTTTATTGATTTGGTTAAGAAAGGAGTAACATCCATAGCTAGGCAAAAGAAGACTAAAACTTGTACAATGGTTTGAAATTGGAGCCAATCTTTACTACTTGCTGGTGAGTAGTACTCTAATATACTACACGAGATGCAATACTTGAGTTTGCAAAACTCGGTAGAGGTGCAGATAATAGACAATAACAAACAAAACAGTTTTGAAAATGACTTTGAAAATTTTAGTGGCATCTTTTCAAAATATACTGTTATAATGATTTCTTTGTTATTCCTTTCTGCAGGCTTTCCCACCAAATGCCATCACAGTTTTTGTATACTGCAGTTCAGTGACAGTGTTCTTCACAATAATAAAGGTGATCAGTTACCGTCTGCATCTTATGTTTGATAAAGGTGAAGTAATTCAACAAAAGATCTCAAGAAAAAATGGAAGGCAATGTAAAGATACAGGAGTCCCAAAAGGAAACACAGTTCAGCCCTCAAATTGTTGGTAAGGTTTTCATTGCACAGTGTTGATACATTTCATAAAAGGATAAAAGTGTGCACCATGATCTTGCATAGCAGAAACCTGTTGACTGTAAGGAAACTCCTTACAGTTGTGTAAGGAGCAGCACTTCTTAAGAGCTGCTTAGTGCTTTTATGTTAGGTGGCTCCAGCATACCTGTGATGTAGCATCTGGTCCAGAGGGTGCGGGGAGCAGCTGGGCCTGATGGAGGGAGAGGAAGGCAGGGGAAGAGAGCTGTCTGGGAAGTGATATAAGATCCTGGGGAAGAGCTGGGGCAAGTTTTCTAGGGAAGCCTAAGTGCTGGGGAACCAGTAGAAAACTTTTCCTGGTGTTGCCTCCAACCTAAAGAAGTTTGAGAGTCAAGGAGAAGAGCTCTGTCTTCATCAGAAAGAATCAAGTGCTGGGCTCTTCTGTAATGAAGTAAGTCCTTTTAGGATGAGGCCTTTTCCAGCAAGATCCAAGAAGGGCTTCAGCAAGACTCAAGCTCCTGAGGCAGCTGGTCACTAAGAGGTGCAAGGAAGCACCCAGCACCCCTAAGATGCTCGAATGGGCTGTGCTGTGGCTAGAACGTGCTGTGGCTTAGGCTTTCTGAAGACTGTATGTTATTGCACATGTAAACGGTAAATGGATTGTATATTGAGGTTCCTAAAGTCCATCTATGTAATGCATTGCCTTAACTGGGGGGGATTCTAGCTCTAAGAAAAACTTGGGTAATTACTTGAGACTTACAGGAGAGTGGTGCAAGTGCCTGCAGTGCTGACCTACTGGGAAGAAGGAAGGAAGTGACCTGCACCTGGTGGCCAGGAAAATGCTTTAATGCCCTGGGTTTAAAAGCCTGAGCTCCTATTGCCTTTGTATGCTTATAGCAATTTCCCTACCTGTGACCAAACCTAGACGTGTTAGTCTCTTCGCCCCTTGCTTCTTTGTGACTGCCAGTGATTCTTCTGTGGTACTGTTCATGGGGAAAGCTGGAGATGCTTTTATTTTTCAGTGGGCATTTAGTAGGTATTTTAGACTCTTCTGTCTATGAGGAGCCAAGTACTGTGTTTGTACTGCAAATGGACTCTCAAAGTTAATAAGGCAAGTTCCAGACTGAGATAGCATTAAAGGGAAAATAGCTTTGGGCTAAAGATTAGTACTCAATTTTTCCAGATTTATGTGAGCATAGAATATTCCTGTGTGTTTACTGAAAACCTATGGAGGAAATTAAAATTGAGACCTCTTGCTGATTTTACAAGCTTGAGTCACACAGAAGCAAATGAAGCTGGCAAGCAGCTTTCAGTCTTCCCAAACACTATGACTGATGTGAAAAATCCTGAAATAAGGTACATACGAGACTGTCTGCAGCACTGAGATATCCAAACAAAGCTTAAACTGAGTGGGTTTCCTTGTGACTGCCAGCCAGAGTTTAGCAACAGAGCTCTATGTGAGTGAACTTACTTTGCTGTTCTAGTGCGTTTGCAGTCCCTGCCGAGAGCTCTGTTACTGTTAAGACTATGCAAGTTGTTTATTAGAAAGCTTATCCGTATACAGCTATGCTACTGTTCTTCTGTGCCTTTATATACAACTCAGTGCTACGCTCCAAGCAGTGACATTGCTATTCCTCTGTATCAGCAGCTCACACGTCTATTTCCGCTTTGCAGATAACTGATACAGTAATTTAAGAGGTCCATCTATTGTTCTAGGTTTGTTGAAATTTAAACAGAACCTCAGTGTTTTCCTGTTCAATAGCTAGTGACACAAAGGCAAACTTTTATTATCCTGCCTGTGTTTTGATTGAGAAGTAGAGGTAGTAGCCCTTAAAACTTGCATGTTAAATCACATAACGTGTGTTCCTCTTAAGAGGTCCTAGACATAAAGCTCTGTTATTTAGCTCTTGAACAGCAAATAAAAAATGTTTTACTTTGATTAGACCCTGGTAGTAGGCAGGTTGCTTGAAGTTTTTGAAGCCAGCTAAGTACAGAAAAAATTTATGGGAAGATGACTGAGACTTACAGGTAAATAATCTTATAGATTATACATGTCTATAATGATTTTATAATGTCCATCATGCATAACAGTTTTCAAACCATTGTATTGTATGTGCTTTAAAACTGAATTTGGAAAAAAACCCCACTTTTTGCTCTTTTACCGTAGCAGTGATATTTTTTTCAACTAAATCTTGGTTATATTACACCTGAGAAACAGAATATGTATTGGTTCTCGTTAGTAAGTCTTGCCCAGAAATATTTGTCTATATCCATTGAAAAATTAGTATAAATATAGAAATAATTAGTGTACAGCAGAATGCATCCACAAAGGAAGAGATGCTTATTACTTCAAGCTGCCTCTAATATATCCATTGTTAAATTCCATCTGTTTGAAGAGATGTAATTATATTTCTTATAGCAATGTCCTACTTCCTAGAACACCAAAATCATTTTATAATGAGGAAAAAAAATTTTTAGCAAGTCTTCTTGAGAAGAATGACAAAAGGGATTATAGTGATTTTCAGCACGGCTCTTTTAGAAGTGGAGGGGAGGAAACATGCTGTCACTTGATCATGCTGTCCTTCCTATTCATTCCCATTCTGTTATTACTCTTCAGCTTCCTCAGACTCACTGTGACCCTCTGTGGTGAGAAGCATTACTCTGTTTTTTATTTGATTCCTTTTTCCCCTGTTTCAGCAATAATATGGGAGATAATGGTGTAATTGTTGAGACCAACCAAAATGACTCTACTCCAACAAGCGACAGCAGTTCAAGAGTACAGGCTCTCCACTCCCAGAACTCGTCTGGAGCAATGGTTAGTATGCTGTTTTCTGTCGCAGTGTCTTCCTTTTACCATGTGGAGTTCTGTACTGTCAGGTACTTATTACTTAAAAGCTTAGCTCTGCCCCTAAATAGTAGGCAGTGGTTCCCTCGATGTACTTTGTATACAACTGGTGTTGGCTGGTCTTAGCTTTGTCCCCAAAGCTTGGGTTTACAAAGCCGTAGTTAATTCTGTATGCCTCAGGAGAGGTCTGTCTGCTCTGTAGACACCAAATCGCCTTTGTAAATCTTGCCGAGAGCACCTGGGGTTCATGGCTGCTCTCAGAGAAGGGAGGGGCTTGCATACAGTGAAAAAAGGGAATGTCTGTGTGTTGCTAATGCAATCAGGGCAGTCTGTCATTGCCTCAGAAGGGATCTACTCTTGGAGCATTAATAACTGTTTTGCGTAACTAGATTTATGTTCATAAAATGAACCTCACACATCTCTTGAGCATTTATACAAAGCATAAAAAAATGTGATTTAAATTCAGGAGGTGTCTTCATGAGGTTAAAACATACATGCATTGTATGCCATTGGTCATGCTTTGTAAATCAGTAAAGTGTATAAAGTGATGAAGGTGATGCACGTACATGTTATATTAAAGAAATAATAATAAGAAACAGTCATGAGAAGCATGAAGAGTCAAATATTCAAGAATTAAGAAACAGAATGAACACTGTCTGTGTAGCCTTAAGCTGCTCCCCATGTATATTGTGATAAAATCTTTAATTATATGATCCCGTGCTATTTTTTCTACAGGATTCCTGCCTCATTCAGTGCAGAGGATGGTTAGTGATCTCTGAATAAGTAGCTTTTTGATCTTTCTTTGTCTTCATTTCCCCTCCCCTGCCTTTGTCTCCCTATTTACTGCAAACTATTTAAACCTTGGTCTGAATCAGAATTATTTCCTCGTTTTCTCGAGTGGTTTTACCTTTTTGTAGCATCTGTATGATTCACAGACATTAACAATTTTCTTTTATCAGGTAAAATATTTTTTGCCTTGTTTCTGTCTCACTCCCTCCAGTATTCTGGTTTTTGTCTGGTCTACCTCTGCAAACCCATTTCTCCTTGGGATCTTGTTTTAGTCTCTCACTTATGTGTAGGTCAGGTCTGGTCACCTAATCTTCTCTCCTTGCCGCTAGCATGCTGTCATGAGTTTGCAGGAGATGCTTATTATTTCCTCTTGGTTTTTGTGCCCCTCAGCCAGAGGAGAGGAAATGGCACAATAATTTTTCCCAATAACTTTTTTTCTAGTTATAAGTTTGATCCATTCAGTTTGGAGTGCTGAAGTATGCATGTGGAGTATTGTGTCAGGTTTGGGCCCCTTAGTGCAAGATGGACACTGACGTGCTGGAGTGAATCAGCAAAGGTCACCAAGATGACTGGGGAAAAGGGTACCTAATGTATAAGGGCAGGCTGATGAAATGTTTTAGCCTTACAAAGGCTAAAAGGAGAGCTTACTGCTGTCTCCTCCAGCTACCTGACAGAAGTGTGTAGAGAAGACTGAGCAGACTCTTCTCGGAGGTGCACAGTGACAGGACAAGAAGCAGTGGAGACAAGTTGGAACACAGAAAAGTTCATCTGGATCTAAAGAAATTTTTTTACCATAGGGGCGGTTAAACACTGCGAGAAGTTGTCGGGAGAGGTTGTACAGTCTCCCTCCTTGGACATATCCAGCGCTTAACTGGACATGGCCCTGAGCAACCTGCTCTAACAATCTGCTTTGAGTGTGTGTGTATCTGTGTGTTGGGCGGGGGAGAGAGTTGGACTAAATGACTTCAAGAGTTTCCTTGCAAAGTAAATGATTCTAAGAATGATTCTAAGATAATTTAATGGATTTCCCCTCTAGTTTTTTTACTGAGAAATTGCTGCCAAGTGCTGGAGAGAGCACTTTTCTGTTTAGTGGTTTGGAAACATATAAGTGGAACAGGGAAACAGAAGAATGCATTCTGTTCCTTAATGATCACCCCCCCCCCCCCAAAAAAAAAAAACCCCAAAACAAAACAACACCTGGATTAGGGACTGCAGACTATTTTATAAAATCATAGATTTTTTTTTTCCTTCCTCAAGCATCACAAATCTAGTTGCAGTGATGCAATTTGGAGCATGACTGTTCAATAATCATCTCCCTTCCTCCCCCTTTCCTCTTTTTCCTCCGTCCCCTTCCCAGCATTTTGTGCAAGGTACATGTCCAAATTTCAGTAATGTTTAGCAACTTACCCATACTATAATTAACCTCTGATTAGATGACTATTGCATTGATTTTTTTTTTCCTAGCAGTATTTAATACAAAACCATACTAATTTTGTGCGGTTTATTACTTTTTAGGAGCTGCCAACACGTGAAACTATTGAAGACCTCAAAGGTATCTTGAAGGCTTTACAAACGCTTTTAAACTTTTGTTTAAACACTAATTTACCACAGGGAAAAAAAAAAGGCACACAAGACCGTACAGCAGGTTCTGTCATGCCCAATGTTAGGAGCTTTGTGGAGAAGCTCAGGAAAATAATTTGAAAGGAATTCTAGCCGAGTAAGTTTTCTCAGCTGTCAGCCAAACTCTTTGGGCCACAACATTTTGGTGAGTGTGCAGGCAGCTTTCCTGTTTTGATACGAGGAGATGGAATAAACCTTCCTCCCACGTTCTTGGAAAGGTCTGTGCCATCTGGAAGGTGTTGAAACAGGAAGCCGCAGCTCAGCTCATTATCTTAAAGCCCTTAAACATCATCTGACTGTAGACTCCTCTTACTGTTAATGACCCTTAGCTCATTAGCATAGACATTCCCAGTCAACCTTGCTCTGCCTACAGTTGCAGTGGTCGAGATGTCTCAGCGTATTTCATGATTCTTCTGTTTTGTGAAGGTCAGTCACTATATCCTATGGGAGCAGGTAGGTGTTGCACTAGGTGTTGTAACTAACTTTTGCCACACTGGCTTTTTTTTTTTTTCCTTCTGTCCCTAAGTATGAATATGTCTATGTAAAACATTTTAGACTGTTTTTTGGAAAGAAGTGGTTATTCTGATTATTTAAATTAAATAGGCATGCTGCTAGACCTGTCTTCACGTGAAAGGGTTCCAGGTACAGGCTAGAACAGCAGCTTTCATACATGTGAGCACCCTTTTGATCTCAGTACGTAGTCTTAATAGCAGGTTTACAGTATGCGCACAACTTCACATAAACACTAATTCCTATTTATCATCACAATAAAATGGCTCGTTTAACCATTCTGATGTTTATTCTCATCTAAAGCAGTATCAATACTACTCTGCTTACTTTCATAGTATTTCACATCTAGCTAACCATTAAGATCCTTGCTTTAGAATTACTGTAATCATCTACTTTGTTTGTGCTTCCTTCACTCTGCTCTTCAACAGTTCTTGCTACTCAAAAGCAAAAGGTTGTAGCTCAGAAATACACAATGTTTCTATGCGTGGGGCCTAATTCCTGTGTGTTTATGTTAGGGGTTACTGTATTAGAAGACCAGGCTGCACTACCGATTTCATCTACCTCACCCTGTATCAAAGCAGATATAGTACCCGTTTCTACAGCCTCTGCTTCAGGTTCCACCACATCAGCAATAATGGCAAAACCAGCTGCTATGGAAACACGTTCTGGTAATGGAATGAATGAAAAAGGAGAGAAGGGACAGTCAGCTGGACAGCATGGATCACAAGATATTCTTGTGGACAGGGATGTAGTTAAAATCTTCTCCAGTGTTTCTCCATCACAGGGTGACATTTTAAGGACTGGAGTTCCTTTGGAGCCATGGGACAGTGAAAATTCAGTTATTTCAGACCACTTGAGTAATCCAAAAAGTTACAAAACAGAGAAATTGCCAGATGGATCACCCCAGGCAAGCTTTACTCGTAGCTGCCCACATTGCAATGCCATTGCAACCAAAGATCTCGACCATGTGGATAGTTTGTGTAATGCTGATAATACCAATGAGGACCTTGACTGCTCGGACAGTGAGACTGCTGTTGCTGTTGTTGACAACTCTCTTCCTGGAGACCAACTATGTGAGCCCATTAAAATTGTTATCACAATGAGTAGTACACCAAACACCTTCAGTGACCTAGCAGGCTCTGTCCATCTAAAGGCTCTGGGTACTGAGAGAACAAGCTCAGCCCTCAGCTCTAGCATAATTACAGCAGATCAACAGAGTCAACAAACTAATGAACAGCTCAGAATTCCTGTTATAACTTTTGATTTGTCTGATGACAATAAAGGTAAGACTTGTCCAGGAGTCAGTGGAAGTGAAAGAACTCTAGAAGTTTTAAAGGCAGATCTCTCATCCAAACAGTGTTCTGGCTATGAATCCGGTGATCCAGACAATGCAGTAAAGGAGCACAGCAATCCAGCCAATACTCCTTTAGAAACTAACATTCATTCAGATCCAAATGAGGAGAATGCTTCTGAAAATATGCAGGTCGTGGCTTTCAATTCTAAAGAAGATCAACAGAACCTAGATCCGCAGTCCTGTAGAACTGCGCGTGAAAAGAGGCACATTCGAGTGCTGAGTGTAGACAGTGGGACAGATGTTCTTTTGAGTAAGAATTGCGTGGAGGTGACTGACAAAGAAAAGACCTTACCAACTTCTAAATCTGATCTGGAAGCTAAAGAAGGACAGGTGCCCAATGAATCGAACTTTCTAGAGTTTGTTTCCCTCCTCGAGTCCATCAATACCTCAAAAATGAAGGCATCCAATCCATCCACTGTCAAAATGGAGACTACAAAAGAAAACGGTCCTGTTGGAGGTATGATGCATGATTTACAACTCTTGGAATAAGCAAGTCGGGACTAATTACTTTATTTGTGGCAACTTAATCTGGTCTGCAGTAGGGCAAATTCCAAGGGGACAGCTTTATTTAAAGGGTTAGGGAAGGGCTGGGTTGGGTGGGACAAACAGTTTTAGTGGAACAGTGTGCAGTGTCAACTGCAGTTTCTAAATACTTTTAGTTTCTTAAACTCTTTGAAGAATCTTACGCTAAACCGAGTGAGGGTCAAGTAGGTGATTAATATTCCGTACTAGAGTAGCTTTCATTTGGAAGGCCTGGTTTGTTGGCAAACTGAAAAAAATTCTTACAAAAATCAGTATAGCTGTAGTGTTGCACCTGCTCTTGCCCATCTTTTCAGAGGCATGTTGAAGTCTTCTGTGTTTCTGCAAGTATTTAAAAAGCTAGACTTGTCGTTGGTGATTCCTGGTCGGTTGTGGTTGGTTTATAATTAAAAAAAAAAACATAAATATGTTCTTAGTAGGTAAGAGTTTTGATTTTTAGTTGCTTAAAATGAAAATATATGTGTTTTAAGGAAGAAAGTTTGGGGGTTGTTTTCAGTGAAAACCATGAAGAATGGTTTATCTATCTTCTCTGCAAGTTTCCATTTAATTGAAAGGACTTGCATTTACTATTCAAGAAAATCTCAAACAGGTATTTTAAAAACATATGCACTGCAATTTATAACGTTCCTATAGATAGACCTGTTCTAATTTGTATTGTTCTTGATGTCACCTTTGTTAATTCTCTTCCCCTGTGCCTCCTTTCTGTTATCAAAGAATATTGTTTTTAACTGCCTTATCAACTCTAGATAAAACTGGCAGAACTGTTCCTTGAAGGTATAAGATAACACGCAGTAAAGGTGTATAGAATCCCAGAGGATTTGCCAAGTGATCAGTGCAATTTCCTATTTCAGAAGGTGTGGGCCAAAGTGAAATACGACAACCCACTTCTTCCCCTTCTCCAAAACGTTACCCATTTGCCTGAGATCCTATAACAAGTTATTCCTTACTAATGTATATTCTAAAACCGCCTGAGGGGAAGCATCTAAATAGCCTGTTTTCCAGTGAACAGGAGGAACTTAATGGAGCTCAGCAAAACCGTTTCGCTCTTGTTTTAGAATTGTATCCATATTCCAAGGATAGGCTCTAGTATAGCTGTTCTCCCCTGGCTACCTCAGGAACCTCTCATTGCACAAAAAAGTTCACAACTGGCTTCAAAATTTGTTACCTTTTTAAAAAACAACTGTGAATGTCATGGTTTTTACCTTGTTAAGAAAAACTAAGTAGATATTTTTATCTATTTATTTTGATCTATCTATTTTTGTTTGTTTTCCTGTAGATTCCATTTGCCTTTCACTCTTCCTTTCCTAATTCTATTTATTCCTATCTGTCCTATCAAATGTACTACATGCTTGTCTGGCTCCATCTTTCACTTGTGTCCATTTTCCCTTCCATTTTATATTTCTAGTTTTGTGATTTCTCTTCTCCTGTTCTTCCCTTTTCTATTTAGCCACACTATTTCTCTCCTGTGCTACTTCCCTACTTGCATTCCTTTCCATATTACTTCTCTCTTGTCTTTTCCTCTGTTCTTCTTGGCAGTCCCTGCTCTGTTGCTTTTCTAGTCTTTTCCACTCTGTTTAGCTCACCTAAAGGCATTGCCTCCCCTCAGCTTGTATTCAGTTCTCCTATAATTCACCTCCTGTCCATTCCTTAGTCAAATTTTGCTTCTCCTAGACTTGCTGCCTTTCTTCTGATCTGTCAGTCTAATCTTACCCATCTCTGCTTCTCAGACTGCTTGTTCTGCTGATTAGTTTCTACTGTGCTCTATCTAGTTTATCAGTCTGCCCAGCTGGCTCCAGTCCATACTCTGTGGTTTCCTAAGGCACGTACTGAGCAATTGTTCTTTTGACTTGGGCCTCCTCAGGTGATCCATTGCTGAGCAACTGTCCCTCGCAGTGCCCAGACAGAGCCCCTTCCTGGGCACTGTGCCCGCCAAGGTTCAAACAGATGCAATAGCTGCCTCCCTGCGCTCCTCATACAACAGAGCAAGGCTGCTCTGTTGCTAGCGTATGGGGATCTTTGCTACCTCAACCAAAACAAAAAGAATATTTTCATAAGAATTTGACTTCTGTGTGATGTGACTTAGCTGGAAAAGACAGATGCCCAAATGAACTGATAACATTTCAGAGGTAACTAAAAAAGTGTAGCTAATCTATAAATGGCTTTCAGACAAGTATCCTTGTGAGTACGGAAGACTAACTACATAAAGGAAAGGAGCAAGTGACCAGAATAGATCAGATGATAAATTCATAGATTCCACACTAATGGCACTCTCCCCCTCCCTCCCAAACTTCATTAATGTGTGTGTAGTCATTAGGCTGTAGATCTAGCAAACACAATTCTTTTTACCCAAATCCATGGTCCTCAGGAAACATGAGGATTCTGATTTTTCCCTCAAACCAATCCGATACTTTAAGTGACTAGGACTGAATTTCCTGCTCTTAAGTCTATATTTATAAGGCTGTGAAATTAAGCTACATGTGTACATAGTTGAGCTGTCCTGCTTGTTTCTAGGGTGGGCTGAGCTGATGCCGGCCCAGCCTGTGTCATCCTGGGAAAGGAGCGGGACCAGGAAAACCAGAGCACTCAAGAACATGAACAGAAGCTGTGACTTCTGTCACTGCGTGGTGTCTCCTGGACCTCATTGTACTGGTGCTGTGGGAAAAAGGAGATTGAATCTGAACTTTTTAAGCTGAAAAGAGTTGTTCGAAGGCAGTTATTTTTAAAAGCAAGTAGAAATTTTCTAGTCAAGTCAGAATGTGCTGCTTGCTAAAACAAATTACTGTCATTACTGGCTGCTTCCCCAAAGTAGCACTTGATTTTAGGAATGAGAAAACCTCTAATTTGTTTACAGCCTTGCAATTACAAATCTACTTTATCACAATAGCATTTTAGAACAAATCTGAATAAATATTATTCCCACATTAAAGTGGTAGTTCAAAAAAAACAGGTGTGGGGGGGGAATATACAGCAAGTCAAGCTATGTGCCAGAGGTTTTGAGGGAGGAGATTGTTTGTTTTTTGTTCTTTTAACCTTGCAAACCACTTACTTGGCAAAGGCTGATAATAGATGTCTGGTGCAAATGAGCATGAAGTGCCCTGCCCAGATGTGTATATTAGGAAATGCGAGAAACTTGGCAAATTCCTGAAAAGCTATGTATTCAGAGCTTGGTGTAAGAAAGCTGATATTTTGCATAATTTGGAGAAGGCAAGGAAACTTGCTAATCAGAACAGTCTTGAAAGTGAGTGAATGTCAGAGCTGATTCTTTATGTATGCTTACTTCACACGCTTGTGAATTGTGTGGAAGCAGAAGATATATTGTCTTGACCGCAAAAGCCCTTGCCAATAGACAGCTCAGTAAAATGCAATACAAGGAAATTAAGAGCCTTGCTTAACCCCACCAGGGATGCCAGATTTAATGCGTTAAAATACGGTACATAAAAAAGCTGTCTAAGAGCTGTTCTGTCACCACCCCATCTCTTTTAAATCGTGAGAAAGTACCACTGACACCATTGCTAAAAATGACTTTCAGGCCAATGTCCTTTCAGTTTTGAATCAAACTTTTACCACCCACATAATGAAAGCCTGTTGAAGGGCAACTGCAAATTTTCCTCAGTCTTTGAGAGGCTAAGAGAAAGCCAGGTTTATTGCTATGCTTTTGGCTCCTCTGACATGTCTGCAGCTGAGTAAGAGCAGCTGTACATCAGATTTATGCAGGGCAAAGGCTCTTGTACTGTCTCCTCTGACACAGTTGACTTGGAATCTAGGACAGATAATGTTATCACCTGGGGAACAAAACCAGTCATGGGAGTGGTGGGGACCTGCGGGGAAGAGCAGAAACCAGAACTGCTTGGCCTGAATTTAGATGTTTTGCAGACTCTTTTTAGAAAAGGTACTCATCATTCTGGGCAGTGCACAAACCACAACCTTGAGTGAGTTCTTCTGGATCCCAAGCAATTATCCTTCTCCTATAAAAAGCTAAAACATACTTCTACGGGTATTTTTAGATTCCTCTTCCTCCCATATCAGAAAGAGAGCTCCTATACAGTGAAGGAGGAGAAGGGTCTTGTGCATTGAGTCACCTATCCAAGTAACAGCCATAATGTAAGGCTACAGCAGGGGAATTTGCTGCTAACCAAGTAGCACCTTCAGCACAAAACCCTGCTAAGTGTTCTGTCCCCTCTAATTCCAAGTGCCAGAGGGGGACTATGTGGCATTTGATGCCCCCCTTTGGACAGAGGAAAATGGGGTGAAGAGCTCAGTTCTCTGCATCTGATGCTCAATGTGTAAAGCTTGACAGACTGAGTTTTTAAAATTTCAGTCCTTAAATCAAAGAGGTAATAGTATGTTCAAGGGCAGGCTGATATCTGTAAAAAAAGTTTTGAGGGTATTTCGGAGGTTTGTATTCTGACATATAATTGTTAGGTTTAATGATTAGACTACTTACGTGTAACCTCAGAAACCTTGCTTTTATTTCTGTAGCTCTGCTGTGAGCCTAATAATCTTATTTTGAGCAAGTCACTTCTATGCTTAAGTCTCCCTATCCTGTTATCAGTCAGTATCACTAGTTTTTCCTACTGCTTCTGGATTAACATTCTGCTCCCCTGTGCTTTTTCAGTGCCTATACTGAATTTCTACAGCAGTTCCTGAACTGCTGTCTTCTGCTGGGTGCCCATCTTTAATGTTAGATTTTTCTTTTAATTATTTGGGGACTAATAGGCAATTTAGGATTGTGGATAAAGTATATCAGTTAGATGTTTGTGCTGAAGCAATCAGTGAAGAAAGGGTTAGGAATGTCAATTAAAACATTGTTTTTTGTCCTGTATTCTCCAGAGATATGAATGGGACAGATCATGCCATTTAAAGCTATTGTTTCATGTGAGGTACTGAGAAGAATGTAGAGAGATTTGAAACTAGTTGTCTTTGCAACCAAATGAGCAACAGATAGATTTTAAGATGAAACTTTCTATTGAGGAACATAGTTTTGTTGAAAGGAGCAGATTCTGCAGCAGAGCAATTAAAGAGCAGAAGAGACTCAGGCTTAATTAGCTCAATTCTGCTTGACCAGATTTCAAACCAGATGGCATTTGAAATTGTGACGACAGTGGCATTTTAACTTACAAGAATGGTTTGTGGAGATTAGGGTAGAGATATGCAAGTACAAGCCACGGGAAGAAGTCTGGTAGACTGGAGAAAAGAGTAGAAAGTAGAAAAAAAGATTTGGAGAAATGTCACAGTGCAAAAAAATTTCATTCTAATTACCTAATAAAATAAGGTAACTTTAAAGTTGGGGTAACCAGCTGTCAGTATTATGATTATTGTATGCACAAAGGCTGCTTCATTTAAACTGTAAAACCTCTTTCAGCATCATCCTAGTGTGGACCAAAGGCTTATTATCTACACAAGTTATTTGGGATACCTAAAATCAATTTCACAAAGTTACACAGAAAAGGTTACACAGCACAGGAAACTTTTGGCAGTGGGACTGTATTTAAATTAGAGGCTCATTTGGCAGCATTGGTGTGTTATGTTCTAATGTTAGAATGTTGCTATGCTGTTAGAACCCTTTAGTGTAGGTAAAGCTAAAAGTGCTTACAGGGAAGTCTTTTATTCCCATATAGGAAATATGTTTATGTTGGTAGGGGTTTTACCAGGATAATTAAGTGATGCATCTTATGCTTAACCAAAATATGAAAATGGTGTACGGACCAAGACTCAGCTGTTTGTGCAGGACTCTTCTGAATCACCCTTCCCCAAGCCTGGTTTAGCCATGAATCTTGATGGTTCCACCAAACAGATTCTAGTCACAGGGAGTATAATGCTGAGATAAATTATGAAGTTAGTTGCTAAGCCCAGGTCTGTACTTGAGGTGTCTGCTAGCCAGCCATGCGTACCTCAGAGGTACGTGGAGCAGTGATCCTGACTAATAGGTCTGGCAAAGGCCACAGTGAAGGTGCAGATGTACTGACATATTGTGCCTTTGCTCTTCCTTTACTCTTGGAAAATATTTTTAACTTAAAGTTGAGCTTTACCACCATGATTTTCATGCAAGGAGTGTTTTGCTGACGTAGAGCTCATTACATACCGTGGCAGAGTGCGCCTAGTCTAGACACCTCTATCTCCATTTAACTATTGAGGGTGTAAGTCACTTGGAAGAAAATGAGTAAGAATCATGAAAACCAGTCATAAACCCATCATGGCCTATCTTTCCATTGCTAGAAGTACTCATCACCATTATGTTGTTTGATTGGCATATAAAACCTATAAGAAACAGTACTATGTATGTTGTTATTGTTATTATGACTCTTTACCACTGCAGGGGGAAGAACTCTGAAATGCTTGTGGTTTGGAGTAGAAAAGAGAGAGGCATTTTTTAGAGCCACTGAATAATCAAATTATAAAATCTTTTTAATTGCTTTAGCCCTGCAGCCAGTTTTAGGGAATATGGGACCAATTAGATTATTAAAACCAAAATTTCTGATCACTATCAATTGTTTTCGTGCTTAAATAGCCCAAGTCTTTAAGAAGATGATTACGATTAGGTGTTTATGGCTCCTTCGCCTCCCTCAGGTACAGCTACATGATTATGGGGATGCTTCAGTAATGCCACAGTTAAATAAGGCACAGTTTTTGCTTAATATGGAGTTTAAATCTTTAATTAGGAAAGAAAAAAAAAACCCAGCCCACCCACACGCTTCTTAAGTAGGAGAAAGTAGATCTGGAGCACGCGTAGAATTTTGTGTCCATGCACAACAGGATACGGAAGATTTCCCTTGAACAAACTTATGCTTATTATACTTATTGCACAGGAAATCAGAATCCATGATTGTCATGCTCTGCAGAAAGAGAGCGAGAGACTGAGAACATTGCTAGGATTGTAGAGAGATTTTTCCTCATGGAAGCTGAAGGAACACTGCTATTTCAAGTAAGAGTTGTGTGGTGTCTTTACTGCCTGCCTTCTCTTACTTCTAGTACCCTGGCTTGTTAGACATCTAGTTACCGTCTGTGGCCGTGATGAGGTTCTTCAGGTTTGGTGCTGCTTGTTGTACTTTGCATTAGGGCTAAGACCTGTAGGGACAAGATGCAATGGCACAATTAAAATGGTTCTTATGCATTGTTTTTTTCCAAAAAATTGATCTTTTTTTTCCAAAACTGGATTTTTCCACTGGATTATTTTTCCAAAAACTAAGCGCAAGTGTCTACAATAAGCACTGGTTGTGTGGCAAAGCTAAGGAATTTGTGCAAGTGCCTGAGATTTTAGGATATTAGAGAGGTGTGTCCTGTGAACTGAAACTGGTATAGAGATGTCTTAACTCAGGAAGGTAGATTTGTTTGTAGAAGTGGTGTGTTGTTAGATCAGCTGATCTGTGCATCCAAAAGCTTGTCTGCTTTTTTCAGTGATATCAGATGATCTAATTAAAGGTATTACGTCTCTGCACAAGCCTGGAATCTGTTTTATCGTTAGACCACCTTAGCTATGACAACGCTGTTTTCTTATTGGTGACTCTTGCAGGTTAGGATGATTAAATTTCTAAGGTATTTAAACAGCAGAGGTGCAAGAAGTCTGGGTGAATACATTTCAGTACACCTTGCTAAGTACAAGAAGCTACAGGGCTCACTGCAGCATCTCTGTCAGGCACAATGAAACCCAACTTTTTTCATTTAAGGCATATAATTGTGTGGCTGCTTATGGTGGTGATGAAACCTAGATGCACTTTCAAATCCTAACTGATAACTTTTTCAGCTTACAGTCAAAGCAAGGTTGCAAAATATTTCCTGTTCAACGTGAATGTTAATAACTGAAAGAGACTACCAGTAGAAAATTATACACATATAAGTAAATCTTAGGTATGTGCAATGAGGTAATGTAATTGATGCATTCAGAATAGTAGAATCAGGACAGATCAGTTATGTGTATTTTGAAACCTATAGTTCAGTACTTTCCAAACGCAAAATCTACTGTGAAATCATTTAGCCAGTTTGTTCTTTATCCTGCATCAGGCTTGAGGGGGTAGGGAAGGGGCATTAGGCAGTTACCTGCTCTCCTGTACTAGAGCTCTGTTTCTTTGAAGGTGTTGCTTTTCCTCTTGCGGCAGGCGAATGGGCCAGTGCTTTTGCTTTTCCTCTGTCAGTATACCCAGCTAGGGAACCAGTTAGGGCCTCCAGGGGAGCAGCTTCTTACTGTTATAGATCAGAGACAGATTGCTTCCCTCTGGAATAATAGAAGAAGCAAAGCATAATTGTCTGTCATTTATCTGTTGCTTCATCATCTCTGCTTGAAACAACCCTTTCACATAGCCTTCCTAAGTCAGGATCCCTCCTCATCCAGATTTCTATGATTATATTGCTTACGTTATTTTAATGGATTTCATAAAATGGGTAAATGCTGCAGTGTTTAGCTTTCCTCTTTAAAATGTTCTTGTTCAGATGTTAATGAACAAAACTCTTGATGGTCATCTGTGGAGAGTGGCTCTACTTCACTGCCCTGTTTTCCAGATAGCCAGACGATAGAGAGAAAAGAAGAAATGGTGGGAACAGAAAAGCACTGTGAGCAACTTCCTAAACAGGAAAGATCAGATGTACAAAGCCAAGATCGTGCTAGTACTAGTCCGGTGCTACCAGAGCCTGCCAAATTTGCAGCACTGTAAGGCCAGTTTACTTTACAATTTTGTACTTCAAAGATGTGATGTAAGCTGTTTTGTTTCACTGAGTAGAAATGACATAAACTTTTAATTAACTTCTCTTTCTTTTTGTCTTATTGAGAACAAGAAAAAAGTTCCTCATAGTAGTTTTGAAACATTTTTGTGTCAAGTTACCAGGGCAACAGGCAAAGGCAGATTATCTACCGGGTAACTTCTCAGCAAGATAGTTCTGTCTTGCAAGTAATAAGTGGACCTGAGGCATCTGTACAAGATGAGCTATCCGTGGATGCAATGCATGTGTTCATAGATGAAAACGGTGAGTTGGAATAATTAGAATGTGTGAAGGAAGGAATTCCTAAATAAATCTTAGACTCCTTATAAAGATATTTCTATTCCTGTCTGTTACTGATGATGTTTCCTGTGTGCGCAAAAGAAAATGGCTTAGTGCTTTCAAGTCAGATCAGAACTAACCGGAGAGTTCAAAGTACAGCGGGAACCATCTCAAATCTGAGGTTTGCACAGTGCCATATCTGCCAGAAGTTTGATCTGTCTTCCAAACATCACCTTCAAGAAATGCAGCATTAGGCCTATCTTTGCTGAAGAACCCATGGCATTTTCTGCCTGACAGGAAATTATGCACAGGGATGGTTAGGCAAAATGTTCTGGTTTTTGACTGCTGTATCCTTCAGCTGAATGTGAATAGTTGCTGGCTCAGACTGAACCATCTCTGATAACACTGGCTTTGCTCTCATTCAGAGTCATGGTCTGCTACCTCTTTCAAGAGAATTAATGAGTGAACTAGTCTTTCTGAATGCCTGCCTCTGTGCCTGGAATGCAGCTGCCTAACAGCTATTCCTAGAGGTCGAAGCTGTAATATAGCAGGTGGTGGTTTGAACTCCATGTAGTGCCTTGTGAGGTACTGGCCAAACACTTCTAAATGGCAGCAGTCCCAAAAGCCTCATTTCCCTTAAAGCTGCCCTCAAAAGCAGCGTGGAAGGAATACCTGTGGTAGCTGGGTTCGTGACCCCAGAGATGTTTTCTTTTCTGCCCTTTCTCGCTGGCCTTTCAGCTCCTAGTGTGCTGTGGGGCTAGGAGCAACTGCCAAACACGGCAATGGCAGGACCTCTGGCTTAACAAGCAGTGCCCCTGTACTGTTCATTAGGTGTGCAAGGGGAGAGTAGCAGTGGCTGTACTTCTAGCTTAATTTGTCACTGCTTTGCTCTTCCTGACCTCACCTCTGCAAATAGAAAGAAAAATTCTAATAATTTTGCATTTTAAAATGAACTTATGTTGGTAGATGGGCTTTACGTTTATTTCACATACCTATAAATGACTGTAGAGCACATAAGCCTGTAGCAAATCTATTTATTTAGATCCCCTTTTCAGTAGGGTTCCCTTTCTTTGCTCTCATGGAGTCTCATGCTCTGCACTGGGAAAAGGAATCAGATCTTCATCGTAATTTCTGTTTTGATTCATCTCAGGTTTCCAGTTGTTTGAGAGTTAGTTTGTTTTCTGAAGTTTTAAAAGAAGCGTAATTTCCAAAATGAAATCTATCTATCTTAATGTTCCTGACCTAAGATACATTTTTGGTAAGTTTTATGTGTAAAACAAATGATCGCATCACTTAACTGATTTCTTTTCTCTATGTGTTCTAAAGGGGAAATTAGATCCTGTTATTTAAAGGCTGGCTGTCAGAAGGAAGGAAATTTTCGACATCAGCTATCAAATCGTGGTTGTATTTCAAATGCTCAGTAAGTAAGCCCGTATTTTTAGATATGTTAGCATTTCCATTGCTGGAAGCTATGAAGCTGATGGTAGCTGTGAAAGATGCATGTAAGAGGAGTACTGGAGAATAAATGTGTTTAATCTGTTTTAGAGATGTCAAAGCATGCATTATTTGTTCTGTGCTAAAACAGTGACTGCCTTGTAAGAATATTGATAAGAAAAAGTGAAAAAGTAAAGCAGAACTAGCCAATTTGTTTTCGTTATTTTCTAGGAATAGCCAAACTCAAGTGCAGAGATATAAATGGGATTGCAAATAAAACAAAGTAAATGGGACTTATTATCAACTTATCCCGCAACCTTGTCTTCTTACTCATTTACCCTTACCTATTGGGTCTTTTATGGATTTTAATGTTGTATCTGTTATCAGCTGGTGGCAGTTCTTCGTCTGGACTCTAGCAGCCAAGCCTTTCACCTTGCATGAAATCTCTAACGTTTGTTTACCACTCTGAAAAAGTATCTGAATGATTTTTTTTCCAAGGGTCTTTTCAGAATGATCCATATAAATCCCGTATTCAGTATTGTGGTTTCCATTCTCTCCTATAGGATCTGTGGTTATGCTTATCTATAAAAAAGAATTTTACCTGTTCGTAAAAGTTTTTATTGAATATTTTTATATTTTTCATATTATCATACAGCACTTGGAAAATTTGAGTGAGGGGATGAGAATGATCATTGTTAATAGCAAATGTTGTTCTTGGTGTTTGGCTTTCATTGAAGACTTTTGAAAGCTTTAGGACCATGTTAAGAACAGTGCTAACCTGTGAGATAGAATGCTATCACCAGAGACATGAGAATAATATTTTTGTATTCAGGGGGGAGACATTAAAAAAAAAAAACCTGCGTTCATCCCCAAAGAAATGTTCTGGGTTTCTTCAGCAAAATGAAAATGGTGGATTACAGTTGTGACCTAGAATTAGACAGTTTGCTATGGGGCTATTTAACTCTTGCAACTCTTTTGTTTCACCTTGTACAGAATATATTTTCTCTTCCTCCCTTCACCCCGTATAACTATGAACTGAATCTGTCCTGAATTCACAAACAATTTCAGGTCCCCTGCCATTTCTCAGTTAATTTTTCTTTTGCCAAAAAAGAATAATCTTCCATCTTATACAAGAAGTCCCTTTAAAGCTATCTTTGCTAGATGCGCATGTGACATCTTTGTCTTCCTGTACTATATTAGAGCCTGATTTTTAGTTTGTGGTTTGCAGACCTCTAGGAATGTGAATTGTTTTTAAGGAGTCTGCTAAAACTTGTTAACAAAAGCAAGTTCATATACTCTCAACAGCCATTTACATACATGTAATTTCTAAAGACTTGCACCTTTGTTGGAAAACTCAGAGTACAGTAACAATTCAAACAGTTCAAACTGTGGAACAGAACAAGTCAGTAAAGATGGTTATTAGTGGGTTCCTGGAGTGTTTTTGTTTAGAAGGCTATGGGAAGGCAGGACACAAGCTTTTCTAAGAACAGAGCAGCGTGAAGGAAAGTTCAAAACAGAGAGTTCCCATGGAAAACAGGGAAAGGGGACCAGGAAGCATGAACTGTACCCAAAGTTATTTTTTGCAAGGGCAATTTTTAATGTGATTAGGCCAGAGAGATTAATTAGAGCTGTTGGTTCAATCAGCAGTTCCTGCTATCTGTGCATAGATTGAATGGTAGCATGGGAAGGAGCGGGTTTTTGATTTTTGTTTGTTTGTTTGCTTTCAGATGTTGAGCATCAAGTCATTTTGTACTTAGACATTACTAAACATTTATAGCCTGTAGAAACAAGGCAGCCAAATCTGATTATCATCCTTCAAGCTAGTTCAGGTATGAGGCATCTTTCCTTATGTTTCTTCCCCCTTCCCCTTCCCCCATATGCAGGCACACACAGCACAGAAGTCAGATTGGTTTCTTGCCCATGATTAAAGATAAGCCAGATAGTCACAGTTATTAACTAGTAATACTGTTATTACCAAAGAAAAAGGCAAATAAACAGAATAAAACAAAGCACAAGGCATAATCAATGACCCCTTCAGTTACAGTCTCTTCTGTCTGTCTGTCTGTGGAGAGCTCTCAACAGAGATTATTCCTTTGAGGATGGGCCCTCCTCTGTTGGAGATATTTGGCGTTAGGTAAGTTAAGATCACAGTGTACATTCCCCAAACCAGGAGTGAGTCTTGTGGTGTCATTGTGAAGGTTGTGAGGACTTCCTGTTATAACTTATATATTCCATATGCTTGTTTGTTGTTGTATTGTCCTTTGTGCAAGGAGTCTGTACAAACAGGAGATGCTGCTCTTGTGAAAGGATTTTAGAAAATAGGCATGAAAAGCCTCTTGAGAAGTGTTTAACTTATCTCCCAGCCCCAGCACAAAGTTTACTCAGGAGAAGATGATGAGACTGACTGTGCTTCTTTATGAATGCTTGAGACAGTGCAGAAACACTCTGTGGTGTCTGCACCCATTGATGAGCCATCCAAATTATATTGTATGAGTTTGAAGGATACAGGAGAAAATGTCTAGACATAAGAGGTGGCATCCTCCTCCCTGATGGGAGAGGTAGAGTTTTGAGCTAAAGTGAGCCCAAATTTCAGAGGCTAGGAAAAGCAAAGTCTATGGAGAAGAACAGGGAACATAAATCTGCATTAATAAGTGTGTAAGCTTTTACAACACTTTTTACCAGCCAAGCATTGTTTATAGTATTAAGATAAAGCTTGCTCCCAAAGGGACAATGTCAAACTGTGTCGAGCCAGTGGAGTAGTTACCTGAATGTGCATGGGCTGTACTCTGAGGTGCTTGTCTGTGGGTAGGAAAGTCATGGGATTTTGGCCTAGACCAGGGGATGACAAGAGGCCTCTCACTTTGGGAGTGTTTTCCATGTAGCAGATCAGAGGTGCTGACAAGCTGTAGCAGTTCTGGGTAACAGTGCAAGTTGTGAAGGAGGAAAGAATTTTGACTGGGGAGGGTATGAACCCTGCCTGGTTTGTCAAGAGTAACCTAAGTGGCTTATGAACTGGCCAAAGGTAAATACTTTCTAACTAAGTCTGGTGAAACTAGAGAAAGTATTTCAATCTGTAAAGTATTTAAATATTACATAACAGAAGCTATTAAAGAAAGCCTTGAGGCAGACTAAATGATTAACAGTCTTAAATTCAAATTATAACTCACTATTCCTGTCTATTGAGTCTTATTGTTGCCTGCTGCAGTAGTAAAGTCTTAACCGCTCTGGCGTTTCACAACAGAGTTTATTAGGAACTGAAACTACAGTGGTATTTCTATGGCCTATAACAATTGATCTAATCTTTTTGGCATGGCTTCTGTAAATCTACTTCTTGCAAATAACATCAGAGTCTTAACAATGTCACTGTGCCACAGAAATGATGCTGTGTTGTGACTTTTTTGTCTTCACTGTTGTGTGCTTGCTGCTCTTTCTTCGCATGTAAAGGCTAGGTGAGCAATCTCAGAGAATAAGAATGCATTAAAATGTGGCAGGAAAAGCAGGAGGTGTCTAAGTTTGAAAGATTTGTGCTCTTCTTCCTTCAGAGTCTCCCTGACACTGGAAACTGTATTTTTTGAGGGGATTGGCTGGATTCAAATATTGGCTATCATTGCCTCTTATTGGCTCTACTCCGTGTGGAATGGTCTTCATAGTTTTCTCCCATTTATCAATGTTAATATATATTCTACCAGATTTTAATTTTTTTTTTTTTTAGTTTTGTTGTTCATCTGTGTATTCCAGCTACAGTGGTTGGCTTTAATCAGAGATACGGCCTGTACCTGCATTCCTTGTCCTGGAAATTGTCAGAATGTCTTAAAGGTAGTAAAATACTGTCTTATTAATAATTTCTAAAATTATCCCTTAATTCTGCCAAGGCTTACTGAGAACTAGAATTGTTTCAAAGTGTCTTCATGTTTCTAGTCACCAAAGCAGTCCAGCTCTTTTAATATTTTAAAACCTAAGTTAAGTTTAAAGAGGTCCTTAAACTGTAACAATCATCAAATAAGATATTTCCTTTTCCATATTAACCCTCACTTTGACAGGTGATTCTTGGTATCGAGTTTGGTGGTGAGTAATTTAAACATTGGCAGGTAGCTAATCAGTTCTCCAGTTATAGTCCGTGTCATTACCCGAGCCCACTTTTGTCTGTTGTCTTGCCTGCAACACCTCTTGCCAGGACTCACTGTGGAATGGATTCCCTGCTGAGCTAATTGCCTCTAAATCTGCTACTCCCGTTACCTAGCCAGCCTCACCTCTAGCCATAAATTGCTTTGCGACAGGCTTTGGCAAGATAGAAAGAGCAGACTGTATTCTGAGCGCGTGGATTACATTAGAAACTAGTTACAGAAAGACCATTTCAATCTATTTTGGAGCTGGAAATTTGAAATAGCTTTCCCATCGCGTAGAAAAACTTCTACCCCATTACACTATAATCTTTACCAATCTTTCTCTCTCTTAGAGTGAAACCTTAGTGTTTGTATGCTGTGTGTTTTTTGTATGTGGTTTCCTTCTGGAGGGGGAGAGATGGATGAGAAAACTCACATTTGTGTAAAACTGGTACTTGGCATAAGCATGAACTGACTTGTTTCTTGGTTATTTTGTCTTTTGACCAAAAGGTTGCTAGGTTTACAGTCTTACCTATCTTACCTGTATGGCACAGTTACAAGTTCCAGTTAAATTTCTTCCTGTTGGATGGATGATACAAAGTAAAACTCACAATCATTAACAATGACACATCTTTAAAAATATGAAGTGAAAAAACTTGGAAAGTTGGAGCAACGTTATATATTTTTTCAGCAGTGTGTAGAACAAGCGGGTGTTGTGAAATACCTTAAAAATACGGAGGTGTCACTCTGAGACCTTTTCTGTCCGCTGCTTTGTGGCCGAAAGCAGATTTTCCCCAGGAATTTCTGTAATTACCTTGAATCTCTTGTTTAATTAAATAACTGAATCGGTTATGGTAAGCAGTCAAAGAGAGAAATGTGAGCT